TATATATATATATGTCATTTTATTCATGCATGAAAAAGTGTATTTCATTATGATGTCGAAACCAAACCTTGGATTAGGGCTGCTCTTCACGGCTTTCTTCCCATACTTCCTCCACTTGAATCCATCGTCCATTATCTCCACATCTGACTTCGTCCGGAACCCAATCCTGTATTCGGCCGCTTCGATCTTCCTTCTCTTCACCTCCTCCGCATTCCTGTATCAACCAATAAAAAAATATTATTGTAGATGTTTTTGAAGGCACAATCAGGGAATAGAGCGTGAAGGAGAAGAGAGAAGCAGAATGATCAGTAAAATTGTGTAAAATTTATTGGTGAAATGAGACACGATTTATAAATAAGAGGACCATAAGATTACACCTATAATCCTGGTAAATTAGGGACAATAAGGAGATATTTTAGGTAATAGACGTTTAAAGGAGCGGAAAATTGAAAAAGCATTTTGTCAGTATATAATCAGGGCAACTATCATTTTGGGGACGGGTTGAAAGATTCGAGGCATCACTCAAAGATTTCAGGAGATTGTTATCGTCCATTCGATTTGAGCGAGAAACCCTACTAAAATGATCATGAGGGAGTTCAGTCGAGATATCATTTGAGCAGGCCAGCAGTTATCGCCAGATATAAGATTGAGCCGGCACTTGGCTAGCATGAGCCAGACAGTCGGAAGGTGGGGCCTTGGCTTTCCACTGGTTGGCCTCTTAGATCTCTTTAAGATTTGTGCAAACACATTTTTTTATGTAAAATTCGATTGAATTTCATTTAACTTACATCTCGCGGCCTTCGCTCCTCCGCTGGCCAACGTTCTGCTTCGTCGCCAGAACGGCCGGCGCGGCGGCATCTGATTCCCCCGTGAAATTGAGACATAGATCGTCGAAGAGCTGTGCGTCTTCGAATCCAACGTAGCTGTGGACATCGAGGTCTGAGTGCCAGCCGGTGAAGGCTGCCGGAGAATTGTGGGAGCTGCGGGAGCAGAAATCGGGGAGGTTGAAGGAGGAGTGGAGGTTTGTTGGGTCAGTGAACTCTAGAAGAGCCGCCATGGTTTTAGGACTGGAGTTGGGCATGTTAAGGAGAGGCTTGTGGTATTTATAGAGTTGGAAGCTGATGGCTTTTGGGCAGCTTCGTGGCAGAGGAAGGTGATTGCGCCAGGTGTCAATTGTTGAGGTGGTTGAAAAGTAATGATAAAAATTATATATTTTTTGGTTAAATGGAGTTTAAATATAGAACATAGGGTAATGCAATGGATTAATTTTTTATTATTTTTCATTTTTTTGTATTTATTTATTAATTGGAAGATTTACATAAGTACCCCTGAATTATAATGTATTTATATATCTAGTATGTAAACTTCAATATATACATAGATGTCACATTTTCTATGTATGAAGATGTGCATTTCATGGTATTTTTGATGGACACTTTCCTCCATCTAAAGGATGAAGAAGAATTCTTTTGATTGTTATTGATTACTTTTCAAAATGGATCGAGGCAAAAGCTTTAGCTCGTATCGTTGCAGGCGTGGTTCAAAGTTTTATCTGGACAGAAATAATTTGCCGATATGGCTTTCTCCTGATACTCATCACGGATCAAGGGATGAAAAATTTCTGCCAGAGCGAGAGGATTAACTTGAAGTTTTAGTTCGTACAATACCCATGAACTAATTATCAAGCCGAAGTTGTGAGCAAAGTCAATCTAAACCTGCTCAGAAAGAAGGTTGAGGTTGCCAAAGATAATTGGGTAGATATGCTTCCTTCGGTTCTTTAATATCTCTGAATCACTCAGACGAAGTAGACCAGAAAAATGTCATACGTACTTTCCCATGGAATGGAGGCATTGTTAATGATCAAGTATAATCACTATAGTCAAAGAGTAATCACTATAACGTCTTTTTACGAAGGGGAGCTTGCTGAATGGCAAGATGCAAACGAGGAAAGAGCTTCACTTGCACTCGATCTATCTGAGGAAATTCGAAATGAACACTGCCCTGAGATGAAGAAATAGAAAAAAATGTCCTCTCAATACTACAATAAATATGTCCGGAAAAAGACATTTTTTCTTGTTGATTTAGTTCAGAAGAAGGCCGATTGAGCCATGAGAGGACAATCGTTCGATAAGCTTGATCAGAAATAGACCAGCCAGTTCATCACAACCATCAAGTTTCTTCTCGAGCATACAATTTGAAAACATACACGAGTAAAGTCCTTCCACTAACATGGAACAGGGACGACCTTAACAAATTTTATCCATAAATAAATGATTATTTTCGTTTTTATTTGTCATCAAATTTGAGAAGCAATAATACCATGAAAAAACTGACTAGAATTCTTTTAGAAAATGTAACAAATGTGATGAAAAAAAATTCAAGAAAAGAGCTTGTGGAACCAATAGATCGACGAACCTCGTTCTACGAGAATCTCGGAGAGCTCGAGCATTTTATAAGACAACTGAAAAGTGTTCTGATGTTGGGTCACAAAAAAGACGACTGATCGATGCTTGGTCACAGAAAGAAAACCAAAAAGCGTTCCGACATTAGGTTGCAAAAATACGGCCGAAAAGTGTTCTGACACTTGTTCTGAGAAAGACAACCGAAAAGCGTTTTGATGCTTGGTTACACAAAGACAACCGATTCTTGGTCACAAAAAGACGACAAAAAAGCATTATGACGCTTAGTCTCATAGACGATCGAAAAATATTCCAATACTTGGTCGCAAAAAGACGACCGAAAAAAGAGTTCTGGCGCTTGGTCGCAACAAGACTACAAAAAAATATTTTGACACTTAGTCGTAAATAATATGACTAAAAAACGTCCCAACATGAGACCATAAAGATACAAACTACATACTATGTTCCCAAGAATGAATAAAAAATTTTAACTTTTTTTGAAAGTTCTGAAATTATGTTTAACGAAGATTTTTGTTTTATAAATTCCCAAGAAAGATAGGTGAATTATATAAACAATCAATCAAGTGCTTGATCACAAGTAACAATCAACAAAATGTCATATTTCATTCGTGTGAATGTTTGTAACAAAAGCCAACTATTTATACTTAAAAAATGAATATATGGAGATCGTCCACCACATTATCCCCTCAGATTCCCCTCAATGTTCAAAAGTAGAAGGAGCGTTGTATAGCTTCGTGAATTTTTCAAGGTTAGAATATGTAGGTTCAACCAGTCCCACCCAAGACCCGAGCAAAAAACTCGTCCGTCGTGATCTTGTGACCCGCCTCTAGGTATTCTACTTTTGTGGTGAGTAGTTCTTCGTCTGTCGTCCTAGTGGACATTTATTTCGTTAATACAACTTTTTTTTTCTTGGACTGCAAAAATCCATTCAAATGCTATCTCCAACTCCACCTAAGTATCTTTTACATCAGGCTCCACCTCAGCCGCCCTTATTGTCGCTAGCTCTGCCCTTTCTCGATATCTTGGCCTTCTTCTTAGACTTGCCAAGGGTATCTCTCTTGGATGGTAGATAGAAGTACAATGATGAGTAGAAGCATAACCCAAGAGTTGATAGCTATCAAGCAATTAACACAATTCAACCTGGCCGAGCTCGTCGAGTTGCCAGTCCAAACCTGTTGAACAAATGATATCTATGATGGTAAAAGCATATCTCTCAGTCACTAGGTTCCAAGGGAACCAATCCCTCTCAATGTTAACCAGATCGAAACTTCAATTAGAGTTCATAAAAAACCCTTATCTTTTTCCATAGGAATCCATCGAACTTGCCCACCTTTCTTCCTTCTTGACGGGCTTGGCTTGGGAGGCAAGGGTCAGGAGAAACAACTTTACCCTTTCTCCAGCGCTCAGCCGACTCAGATGAGACAGAGCTTTCTCCCAAATATTCACCGTCGGGCTCTCCCTCAACCTGCACCTATGGTGACTGGCTGTTTGCTTCAACTCTTTTAGACGTAGGCATGAAACCAGTCGAAGACGGCCGAAGGATCTCCTATGCCAAAAAGTGCCTCGACAATCCCTTTGTATCTATGGGGAAAAGGGAGGGAGTCACATTCTCTCCTGAATCACCTATGAATATTGAGGAAGGTTCTCGTTTGATTAGTATTAATTCGCTAGTAACTTTATTCTGAATAACAATAGAAGTTTTTGAAACCAAATAAATGAAATCGGAACCTTGTATTTGCCCCCCTGATGGGCCAGCTCCTTCAGTTCTCTCTTCTGTTTCTTCGACGAGGGAACTATGTGTTTTCTTCCTCTTCTTTGACACCTTTTTTTAGAGCCACTCGGCCTACTCTAGCGGTTTTCTCTCCTCAACTTCATCGGAGGCAGACCACAACTCTTCTGTCATTGGGTCATAATCTCTCGAGTTCAACACCCGATTTACAGTTAAGGGTTCAGTGTATTGGAGCAGTGATAATTGCCAGTCGAGAATGACCTTCTCCATTGCTTTCCGCTTAGAGGAAATTATTTTACTCTTATTATACAAACCTCCCGTGGCTCAAGTCGTGAAACAACATTCAACCCAGGAACCCCTCAAGAACTGTTGCTTCCAATCTCTTATCTTGTTCTCCAGTTCAATTAAATGAAACATCCGCGTAGTGCCAAAGACCACGTACCCATCTGGCTCTACCCGAAGAAAGAACGTATGTGAAAACAGTTCTCGAAACCAAGGAACACCTCCTCTGCACAAATAAATTGCATATGTCATTAGCACGACAATTGAATTTGGCTTCACATGGGTTGCTATCACGCCATAGAAGTTGAAAATCAGGAAAGCTCTGTACACAAGGGCAGTTGAAGCTTACAATGAAACTGGTCTCGGTAAAAGAATAGGTTATCACTTAGGAAATCAGTAGCTCAAACACCTACATCCGTTTAATCCAAAACGACACTTGTGTCATAAATACAGGTCTCAGTCTAGCAACCTAACCTCACATTCAGCCAGTATCGACCTCTAGGACTATCTAACCGAGTCAAAAATCTAACACATAGAGCCTCCACATCCGCTGCTTGCCACGAAGAGCCTCCAAGTCATATATATATA